CTTTCTACCCAGATAAATAGCTTTAAACATTTTCTTTGACTGCCTAAAACTTTAGCACAGTACTGGCAGGAGACAACAGGGGGGTCGATCAGCCCCTTCCCAGCATCCTTTGCTCTCTCGGCTGCGTCGGTCTGCGTGAGAAGCTTGCTGCGGTGCAGGCAGTTGCTTTCACGCATTTCAGCGCAGAGGGAGAGAGAGACCGTCGCAGCCCATGGAACAAGACAGTCGGATAGGCTAACTCGACCTGGTGCCTCACGACCTTGTTAGTAAAGGAAGTACGCTAATCAGGCATTAGGATGCGCTTCTTCTTATATTGTGAGGCACATAATTACCAGGGAGATGTTCCAGTATATTAGCTGGAAATTAAGCTTTTGTGGGGGTGGATAGAATGAAATCTATTAATTTATTAAACACATTTTTGAATGTATCTATTTAGGCATTGTTTGAGAATATTGTACACCAGTGTTTCCCAACCCGGTCCTCGGGGATCCGCAGACGGTCCATATGTATATTCTACCGGAAGCTGGGGGGGGGGGCAGAATCGTGGACCATCTGGGGGGTTCCTGAGGGCCAGATTGGGGAGACACTCGTGTATAGTATTCCCGAACAATAGGTAAATGGATATGTTCAAAAATGTGTTTAATAGATTAATAGATTTCATTCTACACCCCCCCCCAAAAAGCTTAATTTCCAGCTAATATAATCTCCCTATTTCAAATGTCAGTGTTATTTTCCTGAAACCTAATCAAAGAAAAGGTTAAGTTAATTTAGTTAATTTAGAGCGTGGCTCAAAATTGGAAGACAAATATCAGAATTAGATTTTTGCTAAATAACTGGATTAGAGAAATCCCATTGTGACAATCTTCACCTGACAAAGACCAATCTCTTTATATATGGGCCAGAGATGAGGAAGAAAGCCTCACCGATAATTGTCCGGAATGTACTCTTCTTAATACCTTTACAGAAACTGTTCCCCCCCCCCCTTTCACCTGACAAAGACCAATCTCTTTATATATGGGCCAGAGATGAGGAAGAAAGCCTCACCGATAATTGTCCGGAATGTACTCTTCTTAATACCTTTACAGAAACTGTTCCCCCCCCCCTTTCACCTGACAAAGACCAATCTCTTTATATATGGGCCAGAGATGAGGAAGAAAGCCTCACCGATAATTGTCCGGAATGTACTCTTCTTAATACCTTTACAGAAACTGTTCCCCCCCACCAATACTGTTGTTCATAAATCACTAAGCAAACAGCATCCATGTTAATGAGAATCAAAATTCCCTTCCTCCTCTTGCACATCCATTACGAAACCTTTGGCCCCAACAGAACTGCCGATTTTTGAAAGTCGGCCTACGAGATCCATCCGGCAAAAATACCGCCTCGCAAATCAAAGAAAAACACAAAGGATTAATCTGACCTGAGCAATTTCATTTCATCGTTCGTGAACCTTCTGCACCTTTTTATTTTTCCTTCATGTTTTACGTGACCAGCTTGGAAGTCTCTGTTTTCAAAGAGGCAGCTCAAAATGTGTCATAAATAATGATTAGGCCTTATGCGCGAACGGCTGGAAGGACTTTTTCCTTACTTTGTTTTTTTCATACAAAACAAAGCAAGACTTGGGGTCAAGACCTGTGATTTGAAAGGACTCCTTTTCGAAATCAGCTGGTGGAAATGGCTTCCTATTCAAACCCATTAAGTCGATCTGACGTGCTGTGGTCTTTAGCACAGAGACGGGTCCCGATCTGAGTAGTTCACAGATCTCCTAAGCAACCGTAGGAGAAAATATTCCACTTGACAAAGCGCACATGGTGGGGAGAGACCGGGCCCCTAGGGACACTAAATCTTTTGGTTCCGAGTGAAGAGAGGTGCTCAGTTTCCCCTTTTCCCTGGCCGATGGTTCAGCCCGCGCCCATGTTAAATGCTCTTCCGCTGAATCGGCCTCTTCCACACCTGTCTGATGGGGTCCGTGGTCTCAGGACTGCAAGTCGGTGCTGCTCAGCAGGAGTGTCACGTGTTGGGGCAGCTGCTGGAGGACTGCCCACCCGCACCGCCCGAAACACCTCCCTCGCTAACCCCCCAGACATGGCCAGTGGCTGCTACACGTGCCATCTCGCCCTCTTCTCCTGCAATGGCGAACTTCACGGTGTAAGCTCAGATCAGCAAATCCCGCATGCATATCCATGTGGGTGGGCGGGGGGTTAAGGTGCCGGAAGGGACAGATGGAGAATACCCGCGAGAAACAGATCACATGCAGCCTCTCAGGATATCAGTGACACAGCAAAGGAAGCCAGGAAAAGGGTACAGATGCTTCTCCTGATAAATACTCGCCAGGAAAGGGGTACAAATGCTTCTCCTAATAAATACTCGCCAGGAAAAGGGTACAGATGCTTCTCCTGATAAATACTCGTCAGGAAAGGGGTACAGATGCTTCTCCTGATAAATACTCGCCAGGAAAAGGGTACAGATGCTTCTCCTGATAAATACTCGCCAGGAAAGGGGTACAGATGCTTCTCCTGATAAATACTCGCGAGACTTCCCAAGGCTGGCAGAATGAGGTTTTAAAAGCCTGTAATGATGTTAAGGTAATTAATCACACCGACTGGTGTTTCTATGTCAGCAGTGAGAATACGTGACTTGATTCCTTTGACAGGCTCCTTTGAATTTAAACTGCTACTGAATTATAATAATTACTATGCATTTTACCAGAGCTATCTAGGTAAAGTGCCTGCATAAGGATAAAACAGTAATGCCTATTAACTGCCCACGGGTCACAAGTCTTTGTTCCTACAGTACCTGCTACACCACCTGTTGGCCACTAGGTGGAATTTTCTGTATCTAATCCTGGAATGTGTATTATTATGGTTATATTTAATAGTTAACTGTAAAAGTAAAATAAGTACAGAACCATGCACCATTCTTTAGCACTAACCTTCTTCTGCTCGATCACTGCATTAGTCATATTTGCTTGTTATATAGCTGGAAGTGGACCCATCTGAAGCCCCCTAATGATTAATTCAGTTTCTGTTTGCAAACAAGTTGCCCGATTTTTGCTCGGCAGTTCCAGAAATGCACACATTTCAGGGAACATTGTCCGCCTGACAGAAATCCTTCCACTGAGGGTAATTACTCCACTTCAGTTCAACATCGCATCATACCTTTAAGAAAACCAGTTGTGATTGGTCAAGGTTGATCACATTGTGTGTGTTCTCCAATCCACTGGGGAAGGCAGTGATCACCCAATCATCGGCAACACCCCCCAACCAGAGTGTCAACAGCCGTCGGAGGGAGTCCAGGGGCTCAGCTCACTCGAGGGGCCGGACTCTGGCCCAGTCCCAGGGGAGACTGTGAATTCAGAAACACAGCTGCTACAACGGTGACATGTGACACAGCGAGTGCGAGCATCAAAAACACGTCTCCCTCATTTAACCTCTCGCCCCCCACCACATCTGTGGCACCAAGTAAAAGCCAGCTGATGTCATCACGTGAGCCAGGAGCCATATCAAAGGGGGGGGGTACTGCATGTCCACTGAGCAGAACTTCTTACGCCAAAGCCTGTAAACGTATCTCCCAGTTCGGTTTTTGATTATGCCAAAGGCCGTCTTTAGCGTTCAGTCATCGTGCGTTAAGATAAACCTGCATGGAACCTGAGCAGAATTAAACATCTGCCCAGACAGGCAGCACGCTGGTACTGGTTCATGGTCTGTCCACCACGTACTTACATCACTATCCCCATCAGAGCAAGATTCTCCACTTAAGCGAAACCCCCCCCCAACCGCAAAGCCCCCACGGCAAGGCGATGATGGTGGCAGGATGACCTGCGCACTGGCGGAGCAATCTGCAGATTCCTTCTGAGCAGAAGTGTACGGTCCATCTTGTCTCAAGAGCCCGTTCCGAATCGAACCACACGGACTGATACCGGACTCGCCAGTGGGCCTTAAATAAAGAGTGAGACACCTACCTGACAGTTTCAATTCGCTTAAAACCAGCGTTTCCAGGACAACACAAAAGCCCTCATTTCAGGAGACCGGCGAATGAAGCACTGCAGACACGCAGGAATGAACAAAGCCATCTTGTTTGAAATGTACAAAGCTGCACAGCGATTCACCAGTAGTGGAAAATATTCAACAACGGAAGAAAGGTGAAATTAACAATAAGAATAATTATCATAGCAATAGTAATCATGATTCAAAACTGAACTTTTTTACAGACACCTGAGGAAAAAAAACAAAAAAAATGAAAAAAGCAAAGAATTGCATAATAAGAAACAAAACTATGCATTTTTAAAAATCAAGATAGATCAATAACTGGGTACATTCACACGGACCTGGGTATCTACGGCTCTGTGTGTGTGTGTGTGCGTGTGTGTGTGTGTGTGTGTGTGCGTGGTGCACAGTACTGGTGATGCCTGCAGTGATGAACAGCTTGCAGGACATCGGAGAGAAAGGCAGTGAGTGACAACGTCGATGACACCCTCACTGTCTTTCTGAACGACTGACCTGAAAAAAGCCTTTGTCCCCACCCGTTTCCAGAGGAAAAACCAGTACAGACGTTGTGAAAAGTACAGCGAGTGGCACACATTCTCTTTATAAGGTAACATTAACCGTGTATAGCCATGGAAAAAATTAAGACCACAGCACAACTTTTTGTTTCACTCATTTCTCAATTTATGTCTGCGAATAACTTTTTGTTTTTCCAAACTGCAGCCTGGCTCTTCCCTGCTTCTCATTGATGAAGGGCTTCTTCCTTGCTTTTGGGACTTTTGCCCGATTTTTGCTTGGCAGTCCTGCTTCTAGGAGCCTGATACGATCTTGTCCTAGCAGTGCACTTCACACCTGCACTTAAAGTTTCCCGCTCCTTTTGAAGGTCACTTGATGTCATCCTCCGATTCATGAGAAACCGTCAGATAAGTTGTTGGTCATCTCTGGCATTATAAAGTCATTCCTGCCCTTTACCTGGCTGGTTTATGGTTGTTACCAGTGTCTCCTGCTTCCCCATATTCTTATGTACTGCTGCCTTAGAAATTTTGAACCTGGAAGCAATCTGCTGCTCAGCGTAGCCTTCTGTGTGTGTGTGTGTGTGTGTGCGTGTGCGTGCGTGTGTGTACATATGTATTTAATGTTATATGTATAGCTAATTCATTCAAAGTTTCAAAGTGTGTGTTTTTCACATTTTGTAAATCCCATCAGATAAAAGCCAACATTCACCGAAGGCAACGGCAACAACAAAAGAGGGTGATTTTTGAGTAAGAAAAGATAAAATGTTAATAACGATGAGTAAACCTTTGGTCAGATAACAAGCGCTACGGAAAGGAGAAAGAGCATGAAGGAATCCACCAAACCACTGCACGGGGCCCAGGGGGGCCCGGGGGGGCTCGGGGGGGGCTGGAGAAGGAGGGGGGCACGTAAAAGCCTCAGTGATTTATCGCCATCTGACAATACTGCCGCCATTTCTGCGAGAGCCCCCAGACTGGGAGCTGCCAGCCGCCCAAATATTGTTTTCCTCATGGAGGAAGGAAGGAAGGAAGGAATGAAAAAGGTGCTATCTATTTTTAGTATTTTTCTAGTTTTTTTCCATTTCCTTGTCAAAGTCTCTGATTGTCCACCGAAAATAATACCGGCGCCCCCTGCAGGACAAAACATCCGGGCTCAGGAAAAAGATCACAGCATAGCGACGAGGTCCTTCGCAGGAGAGGGACCAGAACTGGGAACACGGCCTCGTGGCTTCGGCTCATTCAGCCGCCGGCTGGTCGGAGGGGACGGCCGGGACCAAGCTGGGGGGGCGTGGGAGGGGGCAAGCTGGTGGGCTGTGCTATTAAGGTCCCGTAGCTTCGATGCCCGGCGCTCCTCCCCGCTCTGGAGAGCAGTTCTGCCGGATGATGGGCAGGGGGTGGGCCTCTGTGTTGAACACCCAGTCATCCAGGGACAGCAGGTCATCATCGGAGAAGAGCAAATAGAGGTACCTGCACAGGCAGATGGCGACAGGGTAAGGACGAGGACACAGCCGGCTTTCTGCTCCTCACACGCACGTCATCCTGCTGCCTCCACAAACTTAACCTCCACCTTGTGAGAGAGGAGATATCTGCCCCCACCAGGTCCCTGTGCCCCCCCCCCCCAAGCGGGCAACAATAATCAACCTCTCAGTTGTTCTCATTCAACATGACGCTTTATGATGATCCGCTTTAGCGATGACATATAGGGTGGTTATTGCCGTACTTACTATTCTAATAATGTAAAGGCATAATCGGTTTAGAACAGAAGCTGCTAAATATTTTATTTGTACTTTATTTGCTGCAGTATATTAAATAATAATTAACTGTTTAATTAGTTTTCTGTCGGGGTTGTATAATCAATCCATCCATCTTGGAAGTCTGCGGTCGTTGGCCATGATATAACCCTTATTTGTTGCATTGTTTAGTAGTTTATTATTTATAAACACTTTTTATGAATCATTAGAAGTTATGGCTCTTATTTAGTAAGACCGATGATGTTGTTGTTACTCTCCTAATTAAATATTTCAGTGTGAGTACGAGGGGGTCACTCTTCATGTGGCCTTAATGAGCACCAGAGGTACCAGCTGTGTTCACGTCGTCTGTGCTGGGCGAATTGAGTCATTCAAAGAGCCCTTCGGCTTAATTATTCAGCTGCAGTAGTATCTGTTTATATGTATATATTTCTTATAAATGCGATGTGAGAGTCAGCAAGACTCATTTTTTTTATAACCCTTTGTTTCTCTTCTGCTGTGTGTATTTTTGTATTTTTTTTTTGTTTTATTCATGAATGTTGGCTTATTAGATACTAATAACACACCTGCTTCCCTGAGTTCCTCGTAAAATGACCCGTAAAAAGGTTAGAGCCAGAGACACTCACTTCAGCGTCTCCGCCAGGAAGAAGCTCTGCTGCATGTTGTCGTGACTCGGCGTCGTGGCGTACACGTCCCTGATTCCCGAGAAGCCGGACTCGACGCGGCAGTGTTGCTCCAGGGCCTGTAGGGGGCGGGGCAGAGCAGAACACTCTCGTCATTTCCTTTAGTGAGCCAAGTATACGGGACGGCAATGGTCTGTCTGCCACTGATGGGGAAGTCTCTCTTTTAACATCATGGCGAGTTCCCAAATGGAGGAGTGTGGTGGTTCTGGTATCATGCTCAGACTCTCTCTCCATGCGCAGAACCCTGTAATGTGACCCCACACGTCACATGACTCACCTCCACGGCCTCCCAGCCCCACTGGCGGTACTTGGGGTCGTGTGTCATCCTCCACATGTACATGTAGCTCTCGACGACCTCGGGCCGCAGGATGTAGTACCTGTCGCTCAGCCGGGTCGCCGTAGCTTCCGTGCCCCCGTCGAAGCGGAAGGCCTCCGGGCCCAGCTTGGTGGCTGAGGGGACGGTGACAGACAGACACCAGGAGCACGGTCAGGTTTAGCTGTTCCATCCAAACCCTTTTACAAGCCTCTTAAGGGTCCAAACCCTTAACTGGGATCTTCCTGCTGGCCAGGAGTCTGTAACACCTCACGTTCCGGTTCCCTATTGACGTCAGCCCATCGCCGCCCCCCCATAATGGCAGCCGGGGTCCATGGAAGGAGAAACTGCCACATGCCTTCGCAAGAAGGGGGGAGTAAAACCGTCACCACGCCAATAAAAGGCCTCCTGAAATG